GATACGGGTAGTAGTTGTTGGGATTGTTGTCGGAATTAGAGTTGCTTAACTAGGGTGGCCTTTTTTTTTCCTTTTTTTTTTTTTAAGGAAGGATGATTACTCAAATGAAATAAAAAAAAAGAGTGGTATGGTGAACCAAAACATGGGGTTTAGGGTATATTTATAGGCAACAATCGCCATTTTATTTTCCCTAAAATTGGCAGTTTTTTTTTTTTTCTTTGTGCCATTTATGCGGACCAGCTGCTGCATTCACGGCACATATTATTGGCAAGTCTTTTCTATTCACATTATATACAATGTATCAACCAAAGTACTGATGACTGGTTGTCCTATGTTATTAAACTTCGAAGTAGTCAACCAGTCCAGCTTAAAATCAATCTTAAGAAAATTTTTTAAGAGCTTTGGAATAAATGTGTTTGGCCCAATCTAGAGTTATAACACTTTCCATTTGTGTACGTAAATTTCAGCACTAGAATTACATTGAGCCCATAATCTGCACACTTTTTGCTCGCAAAAATGAGTATTTGGAATAATAGGGTCTTTTTTTTTTCATTTATTATGGGTGGTCTGACAATATCGCACAACTTAAAAATTCTAAAATTAGTTATAGCGTGGTTCTCCGAGTTTTTTTTTCTCAAATAACCTCATCTATCAAACTATTTCCATGAGTAATATCAATAGAAATCATATTCCTTAAATGATTTCAGTTGGGCCATATCATACATTTTAATTACAAAGGTGGAAAATAAATAAATGTTTTAATGTCGGGATTAACAACCTTTCTACCATTTTCTCTATTATTATCCCACATTTCCAAATTTTTCGGTTATATTTCTCTCCATTACCCTGCGTCTACGACATGCATTTCGAACATTTTTTTCACCATTTACAAAAGATTGAAAATGAAGACGTGTTCACCATCGTTTTTCTTTCATTAATTTCTCTTGGTGCAACCATATTTTACAATGATAGACAGAGTATATTCACATGGGTTTGTATATTAACAAGAGTAAGTAACATGGCTTTTTGTTACAACACCCGAATCACACACTAGCTGACTCTTTATACACACATGCATCATCAGAACTTTTTAGGCAAGAAACCCAAAGCAAAGATGGCCAGAAAGAGGAATCATTAAGGATTGGGAACCAGTGGTGATCCGCAAGAAGACTCCCACTGCCGCCGCTTACAAGGATGAGAAAGCTGTCAATATCACCCGTCATACCGGTACAGAGATTGAAACCATGACGAAAGCTGATGCTGGCACGAACAAAGCGGCCTCAAGCAGCATAACAATGAACACCAGGAAACTTGATGAAGATACTGAAAACTTGGTTCATCAGAAAGTTCCCACTGAACTGGAAAAAGAGATTGACAAGAATTTGTACGAAGAAATGAATGTTTTTAGAAAGGCCTGGAGCCATAATCATGTCATCTTTTCCCCCCTTTTTAATGTCTTATCCAAAAATTTAGAGAACAAAGAGTTTTGACTCTCATTTTAAAAACTTCTCTCCACTCAGTTCAATTCAAGTATTTAAAATTTTCTTTTTCTTTATTTAATCTTTCTCGTCATTTGTTTATCAATCGATTTCAATATATTAGTTTGATAGATTTTTTATTTAATATTAATGATCACTTTTCTTGTTTATAATTTGAGTAATCCAATCTGTGATTATGAATTAATGTTGTGATTTTTCTTCCTTTTTTATGAGACATGTTTATGATTCAATTTTTCAGTTTATCAATGTCTAATGCTTGTGAATATGGCGGCCATTTATTTGTATGATTATGGGTATCAAATGAATGGCCAAGATGTAATATTTTAATGTTAGAACTGTACAATTCAACTAAAGATTTAAAAAACGAGATTAGATTGTAGTATTTTTGTGGCTCATTGAATTATCAAAGATCGTTAACAAATTTAGATTACTTACAATCATCATGAGAATAGAATTTTGGTTAATTTAAGTTCATTATTATATTTCGAGAGAAGATAATGACTAAAATAGAACCATTCACCTTCATAAATTTGTACTCACAAGGGGGGGCGATTACAATAATAGTGATCATCATTATAGTGAGCCCAAATGGGCCCAGACATTTGTAATGATCTCATTTTCTTTAAAGTTTTAGTTATTTTATTTAGGGCATCACGTAGATCAATATAATTATTAAGGGCATTACCAATTTTTTGTTTTTTGTAAATTGGATTAATGCGACTAAACTTTCTTGACAGCTTAGAAGACTATTTTAGCCCCCATTTTGCCAAAAAATAGATTAAATCCATTCATCTTCTTCAGTAAACAAATCACCCTCAATAGTAATCTGCTTCTGGACGATGATTTATATTCCTTTTCTCCTCTCAGTTCAAAGTTTTGGTTTAAATTATTGAACTAAACCTTCAATTCGAGTTGTCTTTCATTGTTATCTACATTTTCTTATCTTTCACTGTCTTCATTTTTGTGTTTTAATAGTGAGAGAACATGAAACCCAATGAGAGCATTGATTTTCATTAGGAACTACTTGCCGCAAGAAATTCAAAACTTCCGTACAACCTATATGCAGCAACATTTTTGTTTGTAAACTAAAATCATCTATGCTTATGAATTAATTCCATTAAATGTTTTTTTGATTAACATTATTAAGTTTGTGATGTGCCATATAAAATTCAGCATGCTTTTATACATGATGCTACGACAACTTTCAGTAAATGAAGAATAAGGGTTGGAATCATAGCAATAACTAATTGATTGAGAAGGCTAATTTTATGGATAGGAAAGGTAAATAAAATAGTAATTGTTACTGGCCAGGGAAAGGTTAAACTAGTCATTTGCAACATTAAAACTATTTTAACATTCATACTAAATTATAAAATGTGACAATGCCCTTAAGAATAATATTCATCTTTCCAAGGCCCTTTTTAATAATTTCTCCTTTTTATTTAGCTAGGTGGTCTCCAAAATTCTCACTACTTTCGAAATCAGCATCTTTTTAGCTAACTAGGTTATAGGAATTCAGTACTAAATAATTTAAATTCTCGTAGGAATGATAATCACACAATATAATAACCTTCCATTATATATGGTTTGAATTATTTTAATAAGCATTGTAATAGATTTAAAAAGAAATATTGAAGTAGCTTTTGTTAGTTTGAAATGTTTCCATATCATTTTCCCCTTTTTCTTAGAACGAAAAATTGAATCTCTTTTTCTTTAAAAAAAAAAGTTCTTCTTTTTTCTTCGTTATTTAAGTATTCAATCTTTGTGCGATTCCCGGTCAATGACTTGGTGCCTGGTAATTTACTGTGCATTTCTGTGCGACATATAACAAATTAGAAACGGATCCTCTTCCTCTACACGGCAGGAAGTGACTCATTTTTTATGGTGGAATGTGTACTATACTTTTTTAATGTTGAATGCGCTTGATAGAATAACAAACACTATCAAGAACCCTCAAAAGCAGGCGGCAACCGAAACAAAAAACTCTAAAAACGGGTACTAAAACACAGTTTGAAACTCGCATTCTTATCACATTTATACCAGCCAAATAGAAGGTTTTAATTGTACATTGTGAAATTTTTTTACTTTTTTTATGCAAATGGTTTGTCTGAAGAATTATGAGCACCAATAGTATAGAAAAACCATGCCTTCCAATCATCAAAAATTAAATTTTTGGAAATTTTTATTGATCTTCAACAAATTTATTTCAGCTGGGAATGATGCTCGAAACAAATTAAAGGAGAAAAGGTTTTCCTAGTATTCGTGTGTTTCATATTTGCAACTGGGATTGGGTGTGGTAAGTCTTGTATGTCTTCTTCCCTCGGTCGGTTCATACCTTGGATCTTTTGCCAGGGGCTGTTGGACCTGATTAGAATAGGAGTCATTCTGTGAAGTTAGAATCAGTAAGTCGTAATGACAAACTGAATAAAGAATCAACTATAATGATTTGCATTTATCATTCAAGCCCGTAAATTTTTTTTTTTTGGAAAAATGCACAATTACACTGGCATGTTCTTGATAAAATATTTAGGGCATTTAGTTATTAGGTCTCTCTCGCCTCTCTCTCTTCTCTGAAATCTTTCTTCCCTTCCGCCCATGGCCGGTGATTCGCCGCCGGCCATAGACCCTTCACAACAAAATAAACCATCGTTTGCTCAAATTTTCGAAAAGACAAATCCAAAAACAAAACAAAATCACTCAATCACAAAACAAGATCAAAGTCAGTTTAAGATTCATTCACAACCAACGATATTCAAAGGTGAGCCAACTTTTCTTCTTACCAAATAAGAGGATGATCAATTGGCTGCACCCTTCCGACTAGCCCTTGTAGGGAAATTCACTAAAGGCCGACTGAAAATGGATTATTTACGAAGAGAATTCAAAATTATCGGTTTCAAAGAAAACTTCTCCCTTGGATCGATTGACTCCCGATATATCCTTATATCCTTCGATTTAGAAGAAGATTTTCATCATTGTTGGTTAAAAAGTCTATGGACCTTTGAATCGCATCGTATGCGAGTTCTAAAATGGACCACTGATGTTAATCCGGCACATGAAAGCTCTATCGTATCAGTCTGGATCTCCTTCGAAGGCCTTCCCATCCACCGTTTCAATAAGGCTTACTGGTGTAAACTAGCTAGTATCATCGGTACTGAACTTCAAATAGACGTTCCCACCCTCAACATGTCACGACAGTCTATGGCACGGGTTTGTGTAGAATTGGATCTTCTTAAGGACTATCCTATTCGAATCAGACTTGGAGTTGAAAGGGCAAGTTATTTTCAACCAATCTTCTATGAGAACATGCCGCAATATTGTGTTGACTGCAAGAAGATTGGCCGTGATCTTCAATCCTATAGACACAACACCCGAACATCATCAACACAAAAGAAAGAATCGGAACCTTCAAAGGATCAATAAAAAATTCAAACACAAGGGAAGCAATCAAATGTTGTACAAATCAGAGATGACTCCGAGATAAATCCATTGGCCTCCAATGTTATGCGGATCCCGTCTTTGTCAGGTGCTAATGGAGGGGACCAGATTCCGCAAACCATTGCCGCTGAAGACCCCCTTCATTCAAAAGCTGCGCAAACAACACTGCAATCGTCTCCGAAGTTGCAAGCTACTAACGACAACCAACGAACCTCAGCAAACCAGAAAGCCGCCGAAGATATCACCGCTGCTGCTACTGAACACACCACCCCCATTGTTGCGACTAAACCTATTGTAGCGACCCAAATCATAGACGCGACTGAAACCCTTCAACCGGTTTCTGTAGTTGCTGCTAATCCAATGATTGAATCTGGGAAATCAACTTCGCTTCAATCTTCTCCGATGGCTGCTACATCGCCAATGGTGGAGGGCCGGCGAGAAACTCCAATGACAGACGGCGAACTAGAAATCCCAACGATTTCGCAAACTCTGAAACTGAATTTCGTTGATGTGCAATCAACGCCCAAGATGCGCGGAATCTCTAGTCAATCCGATTCAATTTCAAATTCTCAAAGCCATCCAGGTTCGAATGCAAAACTGACGCAGTCTGTTCCTTCTTCAAGTGATGGTCATCAAGGCTCTCCGATAGTTGACGCTGCTGTGGATTATCATTAATCTCATTAATTTCGTTTACTGCTGCACAAATTTCGCCTGTGGAGAGTCAGAATCCCCCTGAGAAGCAAATCTTTGCTGAAGTCGCTTCTGGTTTGCGGCCATCTGCTGATGCTGTTCCGCCACCTCTGGAAGATCACCAAACAATCATTGCCGGCGTTACAGCCCAAATTGAATCCTCCAAAGAGAAGACACTCCACTGCCGGCAATGGAAGAACGGCAGCAGCCACCGGCGATGGAGGAAATTCAGGGAATTCCGCACAGCCCTTCTAATTCGCATCTGAGCTGCGTGTCAATTGCGCCCGCGGCTGTTGCGGCTGTTGAGGCTGTTGCACCTATTGCGACATGAGCGGGAAAAAATTTGATCCCCCAAATCTGCTATCTAAATCTGATCAGCATATCTCGCTTTTGAATAAGGAAAAGTCTATGTCACACTCTCCATGGCAACAAATCTCTCCCTCAAGTTTAGAAAAAAAAATTCTTCCCCAAATATCTCTAGTAATAACTCCAGTCAAAGGTTAAATCCCGAAGCTCCAGAACTTACTATCTCGATTTTACTGCCAATTGCGGCCCCAAAATCGTAGTTATCTAAGGATGATATGGAGATAGGGAACAATAATGAGCTCTTTAACCCAAGTTATACGATTGAAGAAACGTAGTAATTCCAAGGGTGGACTAAATCATGCTCTCAATTGTTTTGAAGATGGACATTTTGATATGGAATACGCAATGGAACAAGTGTCCTTTTATATTGAAGTTTCTGTTCCAACATATCACAATCGTTCAAAAAAACCAAAGCTAAAGCAAAAGTTTGAGTTGTCGATCAGCTCGATTGAATAAGGATTCAAAATTTACTTTAAGATTAAAATTGTACTTGATATAGGGTTTAGTATATTTGTTGCCCTATTTTTCCTTTATTATTAATAACATTGTTTTTTGTTTTAAAAAACATATAGGGCATTTAGTTCAATAATAATTGAGTTGATACAATTTTGGTAGTGATAGCAATTTGAAGAATATAAGGACTCAGTTACATGCTTAAAATGTAAGTTAAGATCTCCTCCCAAATACGAAATCTATCTTCATACTTTTTCTATTTAATTGGTGCTCTATTTGGGTACAATATGTGCACGCCTAATACATTTTTTTAAAAAATAATTAGTATTCGTGTAGAGCTTCACTAGAAGGAGAAACACTTAACTGGGGCTTAACTTGAGCTTCTCAAAATATCGCCAAAGATTTTAGGTAACACTGGTTCAATAAGATTTTTACAGCAAGTTTGTGGGTAACGATTCAAAGCACATACTGGGCACTAAACAAATTCAATTTTTATTTGTGTTCTTTAAAAGGTCCCAAAATATACAAATTGTACTTTATAGCCGCGGAAAATAATTTAGAGTATATATACTCATGTCAATCGAAAAAAATATACTACTGTGACAATAATAATATTTATTAATAGGCAGTCTAAACTTAAGCGTCTCGAAGAACTTATATTGAAGGCATCACTCATTCAAGAAGAATACTATGGAATCACGTTCTTTCTTAATAGTTGCCCGAATCTAGAGAATCTCACCATGAAAATATTGCTCTTAATTATTGGAAGAATTTTGACCATGTTAAGACGGTCGTTTCCTGGGTACTTTCATTTTGCATTTGTAATTAAGAACAGTTAAATATGCATGTGTGTTCGACGACGACTCAAAATGGGAAATACATCGGTATTGGTCTATGTAATCAACGCTCTAGAGTTACAAAATTAAGTAGTTTTGATTTCAGAAGTTTGAATGGGGATATGCAGAGCTGGTGTGATTTTGTTTAATTCTCTAGCTAGAAAGGCAATTTGATGAATATGGAGAAACGAAATTTAAGTTCAAAGGTTCTAATATTTAACAGCTAATTGGCTTTGATGCAGTACCTAGGCGCAAAGGATGCACAGTTCTTTTTTTTTTCTTTTCTTTTCTAATTGTTGTTTCCGTATTCAGAAGAGCAAAAACATTGGCGGAAAATACAGTTGTACTCTTACGTACGGAAGTAGCTAAGAAACGTGCAGTTGAAGGATTTAGAGGGACAACAAATGATCTTGTTTTATGCAAATTAATTTCAATGAAAGTGTTGTTAAAACACCCAAACATAATGCACCTAATGTAGAACCCTTACTAAAGACAATTAAAACTTAGGAATTAAGACACGCAGCGCAAATACAGAAACAAAAGACTCCGTACGATAAAAAAAAAACAAATAAACTCCAGATAATTAAGGATGACATTCTTTCGTTTCTCCTAGAATTGACGGTCTTCAATCCTTTTTCGAATTTGTGCAAACAAACTTCAATCCTTTTCTTATCACATTATACACAATGTACATCAACGAAAAGCAGTGATGAGAGGTTGTGCAATTAATATTCGGGCATGAGATTGTTAAAGTTCAGAGTAGCCAACCGTCCAGATTGAAATCAACTAAATAAAAAGGGGCGTTTAGCTGTTTACTCTTTAGAAAATTATTAAGAGCTTTGGAATCAATCTGTTTGCCGTAGTCACAGAGATTTCACATTTTCGCTTGTGTAAGCAAGTTTAAGTACTAGTACATTGAGCCGACAATGTCCCCAACGTTTGCTTGTAATAATACATATTTGGAATAACATTATTATCCTTATCCTTATCCTTATACTTAAGTAAAAAGCACAGTAGGCAAGAAATAATGTTCAAGAAATATTCAAGCACTACCGTAGAATCGATCTCGGCCGTCGGATGGGGTTGATATGCTGTCAGCGATTTATTAGGGGTGAAATCGGGATTTCATAATTTGTTTCCTTCTAATAAATAATACAAAATCCGAATTTTTGTTTCCAAATTTTATTCCCCCTCAGTTAAAGAATAGCACAGGTTTTAAGGAAAAATTCTCAGCCCAAGAAAACGACGTCGTCGTTTCTCCCTGTCCCCCCCCCCCAACCAATAAATATTAACGATGGCTGCATAAGCTCTTCTACTCCCGACCAGCGACAACTCCTTTTCAAACCACCACGCCCATTGAATCGGTCATTCAATCTCGTACATAGTCTTAATTCCCGTCGATTGAATCGCAATACCGATTAAGCGAATCAAACTCGGAACCCGGATCCTCCGCTGCCCAAGGTCTCCTCATCATTTTGCTCCATCCTTTGCAGACCCTAGCCGCTAGCGAAGGTGGAAGAAGCCAAAGATTGAGGTTCCGGTGGTGGTTTTCCTACTCCAATGTCATCAATTCTGAGGTAATTCATGCAGGTTGTTCGTCTTCTCAACGGGTTTGTATTGATTTTTTTTAATTAATTTTTTTATTAATGGATTTCTGATTATATATGATTCTTTTCCTAAGCTTGTGTTGATAAAAGTAATTCGGAAGATTATCTGAATTATCTTTTCTTTTGGCAGTGAGAAGTGCCAGTGTGGTTTCATGGTTGATCTTTTTGCTTAGAATTGATTTATGGGCCCTGGAGACATGCAGTCAACTGTGTGAGAAATCAGAATGTTCTTCAAGCAACACTTCAACTGAAGAGTTTGCCGAGGGTTCAGAGTATCAGACGGCTGAGAAAATAGTTACATATCTGTGGAATTCATTTGTTCATTTGTTGGAATTCATTATGTCTCTTTGTATTTGTTGGTTTCTGATTTTTGAAACATTTTTTTTCCTGGGATTAATATGAAATAATTGAATTTGGTAGCTCTAAATCTTTATTTTAGAGTCAAGATGATATATACTGCTTGATGATGGATATCGTCCATTGACTGAATTCAGGTTTTGACAGAGCTTTATAATTCAGATTTCAGCACTTTCACCTATATTCTTTTTGAAATTATTGAATTATTTCATAATAAGAATCTATGAGAAGCTAAGCAGGTTTCAGTTCATGAAGACAAGGAATTGGAGCGAGAAGTTGTTAAGAATTTGAGGAATAGAAGCAGCAAAACAGAGCAGCCACAATCTTTGGCTTTGGAGATTGAATGGAAATCCTCCAAAGACTTTGAGTTGTTTGGTACTATGTTTTTGGGTTTTTTTTCTCCTCCCCGGTTATGTTAATGTTGGGGTCGATCATAATGAAGTTTTCTGTTACTCTCGAGCTGGAATTATTGAAGGTTTTTTGCGAACTATCATTGACATGTATACATCTGATGATTACTTAGATGATGATTGAGAGTGATTGGGTTGGGGCCCGATAATTACTAAAAAAATCAGTATTGCATAATTTCTTTGACGCGTTTTTCATTCCATGATCAGTTTGAGGTTAGCTGCATAATTATGGTTTCCAGTTTGGAGTAGAAAACTCCAAACTCCAAAACAATAACGTTTTGGGGCTTTATGGTTCCCCCTCTAATCCTCGCTGCTTCTAAATCCCCCAATTCCAGACCTCCGATGCCCATGATAGAGTAGGCAAACAATCAGAAACTTCCACGGTAAGCTTCAAGGATGAAAGAATAGATGCGTAAACATCTAAAAATATCACAATCAGAAACTTCCCTTGATGGCTTGATCAGAAACATCTTTCAGGCTCCAGTGACATGGATGAAGCTTCAAGGCACGTTCGAGTGTGGTTTGTGACGAAGTTGAAACCTCCAAATAAAGCACCACCAACCTCTATTACCATTCCTTCCAACCTCACCAGCTTGGGTCTCTCCACTATTGTCAGTAGTTTTCTTAAAGCTGATAATTATTCTAGAATGTTCTCTCATCTAATTATTATAAACCGTTTACAGCTACTGTTGGTTTTGATTGTTCCTTTTGAAAATATTCTACTGTTTTAGGTTGTTTTATTTTTTGGGTGTTTGCGAATAAAAGTAGTAGTTTTTGGAAAATTTTGTTGTCCAAGTTGCCAAATTGATTTTGCAATATATATGTTAATAAAGCTTTGGCTATTTATTTCGTGATAAAAGATGATTGGAAGACTGAAGTTTTTTATTTTCTTGTTGGTGGGAGGCTTGTACAGATATCCTTGGAAGAATTTCTAAATGTCGAAAATATCTCCGCTA